TTATAAAGAAAACAGACTAGAAAAAGGTTTAGATACCAATCATAGATGGCAGGACCAGTGCTAAAGTACATGGACAAAAATTTTAAAAACATTGAAAAATATTTTCTTCTTAGAGGGTGCTTATTTATAGTCTCAAACGTATTTGGGATTTTTCAAATTAAATTTCTTATTAAACTTCATTAAATAATACAATTTAGGAAAAATAATTGAATGTTATGCTACTATTTACAAAATTAAAATCTAAAATTGAATAAAAGATAAGTTCTCTATAATTTTTTCAATTCACAAATGTGATTTTGCCCTCACAATAAGACAGAATGGCCCCCATAGGTAAAGAGTTAAAGAAATCTGTGGCATGTATGATAAACAAAATTGTGTGGAATCTACCAATTTCACATTAATTGTTTTATTTTGCATTTAAATCTTCAGTTTACATTAGCCCTGTATGTCACAATTTTCATTTCATTCTTCCCAGATATACTGTTTTAAAAACTATTATTTTCACAACTGTGCAGTGAAAACTTCCTTATTTCAAAACTAGCTTTCTGTAATGAGGCAGTAAAAATAGTAATAATTGGCTGCTACTTTGCCAGGAGTTTGTGAGTTGTTCAAAAAACGTTTACTTATGGAAACCACTGAATAACAAGGAATAAATCATTCACATAAAAAAAAAACGTTCAGCTTTAATTCTATGTAACTTTTTTAATTATCCTGAATTTTTCCAGCATCTGAACAAAACATATAATGTTGATGTTCCCTTGGTCCTAATGAATTCTTTCAACACTGAAGAGGATACACAGAAAGTGCTGAAGAAGTACAGAGGATTTAATGTCAAAATTTACACATTTGAACAAAACAAGTATGTGTAAACATTTCTTTTTAATAGTTTCCTGATGTTTCCTCAAAATTGTGTTTGTCTTTGAATTTTATACATAATTGTCTTCTAATTCAAATTAAGCTTACCAATGAAGAATTTGTGCTCAGTTCAAACACTTATTTACAATTTCTATTTGTAAATTTTAAATATAAAGAAAAATAGAAAATGTAGCACTTTGGAATACATATGTAGACCATTATAATTTCATATGTCATGTAAAATACACAACAAGGAAAAAATCACAAATTATATACAACTATTGGCTTTTTTTGGGTTGATAATACAGAGGAAGGTATGAATGTTTTCTCATGTAGAGCTATTAGATTTGTATTAGTGACTGTTAGGGTGTCTGTGAAACTAATTATTCTTCATAGTTTATCATATTATAAAATATTAATGTTTCAGCATGAATACTGTGGTCAAGTCAGATTAAGGTCTTTCTTATTAAAAGTATTTACGAAATGATGTACAACTTCCAGCTTTAATTGTGTCTCTGTTTACTTTAAAATATGAAAAGGAAACTATTTAATTAATTGCTGAAACGTGTTTTGTCACAGTTATTTCATGATGTTCTAATACTGGTAAACTGGCTTGCAGATATCCAAGGATAAATCGAGAGAGCATGCTTCCCGTAGCAACATCTGTAGAAAACTCGGATCCTGAAGCGTAAGTTGTAAACAGTGTAAGCTCGAAGCTATGCATCTAAATGGAACTTTTTACTATTTTAATACCACACATTTCAGAATTATAGTTCTTCTTGTATATCTTGTGATTTTGAGAGCAGTGAATATTTTTTGTACTTGACAGAGTTTAGTCGTAATGGATATAAACAAATTGTACAAAGTAAGCAGTTAGAATCTGTGTCACTTGTTTGAGCACTTAGAATGTTTTGTATAGTTAAAAAAAGGTATGGTGAAACAGTTAAAGTACATGTATGTCACTTGTAAATTTTGTGTAAGCTAATCTAAAACCTGAGCAATTAATGTTTTACTCTGTAGGTTTTGTGTAAGCTAATCTAAAACCTGAGCAATTAATGTTTTACTCTGTTGGTTTTGTGTAAGCTAGTATACAACCTGAACAGTTATGTTTTACTGTGTAAATTTTATGTAAGCTGGTATATATAGCCTGAACAGTTAATATTTTGTTTTTATAAGCTAGTATACAACCTGAGCAGTTAATCTTTTACTGTATAGGTTTTGTATAAGCTAATATACAACCTGAGTAGTTTGTTTTACTGTGTAGGTTTTGTATAAGCTAACATAGAACCTGAACAGTTAATGTTTTACTTGTGTAGGTTTTGTACAATCTCGTGTAAAACATGTGCAGTTAATGTTTTACTGTATAGGTTTTTTATAAGCTAGTGTACAACCTAAGCAGTTAATATTTTCTGTGTATGTTTCGTATAAGCTAGTGTACAACCCAAGCAGTTAATATTTTCTGTGTATGTTTAGTATAAGCTATATACAACCTGAGCAGTTAATGGTTTACTGTGTAGGTTTTGTATAAGCTAATATAGAACCTGAACAGTTAATGTTTTACTGTATAGGTTTTGTATAAGCTAGTGTACAACCTAAGCAGTTAATATTTTCTATGTATGTTTCGTATAAGTTAGTATACAATCTGAGCAATTAATGTTTTTACTGTATAGGTTTTGTATAAGCTAATATACAACCCGAGTAGTTTGTTTTACTGTGTAGGTTTTGTATAAGCTAGTATACAACCTAATCAGTTAATGTTTTACTTGTGTAGGTTTAGTACAATCTCGTGTAAAACATGTGCAGTTAATGTTTTACTTGTGTAGGTTTTGTACAATCTCATGTAAAACATGTGCAGTTAATGTTTTACTTGTGTAGGTTTTGTACAATCTAGTGTACAACATGTGCAGTTAATGTTTTACTTTTATAAGCTAGTATAAAGCCTGAATAGTTAGTTTTACTTTTATAAGCTAGTATAAAGCCTGAATAGTTAGTTTTACTTGTGTAGGTTTTGTACAATCTCATGTAAAACCTGAGCAGTTAATGTTTTACTGTGTAGGTTTTGTATAAGCTATATACAACCTGAGCAGTTAATGTTTTACTGTGTAGGTTTTGTATAAGCTAATATATAACCTGAACAGTTAATGTTTTACTGTATAGGTTTTGTATAAGCTAATATACAACCTGAGTAGTTTGTTTTACTGTGTAGGTTTTGTATAAGCTAGTATACAACCTGAGCATTTATTGTTTTACTTGTGTAGGTTTGTACAATCTCGTGTAAAACATGTGCAGTTAATGTTTTACTTGTGTAGGTTTTGTACAATCTTGTGTAAAACATGTGCAGTTAATGTTTTACTTGTGTAGGTTTTGTACAATCTAGTGTACAACATGTGCAGTTAATGTTTTACTTTTATAAGCTAGTATAAAGCCTGAATAGTTAATGTTTTACTTGTGTAGGTTTCATGTAAGCTTGTTTACAACCTGAACAGTTAATGTTTTACTTGAATAAGCTAGTGTATAACCTGCATAGTTAATATTTCACTTATGTAAGTTTCGTGTGATTAAAAATGTGTACAACATGAACAGTTAAAACATGTGTTGCTGTAACATGTTTTAACTGTCATTGGTTTTAACTGATTAACAAAGTGTACAGCATGAATAAAATGTGTCACTTGTGTAAGTTTTGTGTCATTTAAAATGTATGAAAAAACAGAATATGGCACTTGTAATCATGTAAGTTTTCTGAACAGTTAGAATGTAACACTTGTGGAAAGTTATATAGTGGCTTAGTGCATTAATTGGGTTTAAAACATGATGCCACTGAACATGCACTTTCATCTGTGAGCATGCTATAAAAGTGACGCTAAATCCTATTATTTGGTTCAAAGATCTGAATAAAACCTTTGTGACACTGAATGATACTGGCTGCCTGCCCTTCCTCTGTTCAGTAGTTCAAAATTAATGCTCAGTTACTGTAACAATTTGATATTAATAAAAATCATGAACCTAATTCTGTGTGAAATAATTTAAATAAAAATTCACAAAAATCAAATTTAACCAGCTTAATCTAGTCCAAAATGAAACAATTGTTCAAGTAACTGATGATATAAATAGCATCTCAACCACTACTAGGTCAGCCTGATTATCCCTGATATTGAGCGAAAGGCCTCATTGACACTGGATAAAGTAGATATAGTGTGATTGACATATTGTTACATTATACTTTACATTCACTCATACGCTCTCATGATTACTGATGTAGTCTTTCCCCATTGATGCTGTAATTATATGACCTACTCTGGGATCAGAAAAAAAGACTAGTTTACTTGCTCTGCAGCTTTTCTAACTGATGAATAATGCTAATTCATGTAAAGTAAATAAATAAAATTAATAGTAAGCTCTTTGGTATTAAAATAAATAGATAATTTGATGTTAATTATAATCATGAACCCAGTTCTTGTGTAATAATTTAGATATAATCAATAGAAATTACAATTTACCAACTTATCTACTTCACACCAAAATGGGTGTTGTTCAAGTAAATAGCATTTCAATGATTACTATGCCTTTCATATCCCAGCAGGCTTGAAGAGCCCTGGTATTAAGTGAAAGACCTCTTTGGCACTTGATATCTGAGATAGTGTGGTTAACATATTAGTACACCATTGCTTTCACTTTTAAGATATTATCATTGGTGTTTCCGACATAGATGGTTAGCCCATGTGCACAAAAAGGTACCATTCAGGTTGAAAAATTCTGTTCCAATTTCTGTATAGTTAAAAAGACATACAACAAAACAGTTGTGAACACAACATTGCAAATGCCAGTCCTTTTCATTTGAAGTGTGGTTTCATGCACATACATGGGCACAACACATCTAATTACAGGTGCTATTTGTTGCCTGCTGAAAAGCCATATTCAATCACACGTTTCAATACTCCTGAGGAAAGTGGAAACATTTATATATGAAAATATGATGATCAGCATAATAATAGATCTATTGATACAGTCTTACCACTTCTCACACAATGCTATCTCAATTTTCTTTCTGCCCTCTAAGCATTGCTCAAAAATTTTCATGCTCAGTGCACCAGTCTATGTATCCCATCAATTTCGTGCCATTTTTGAACATGTACATATCATGTGACAACTCTCCACCAATAGTATTGTGCCACCTATATTGGTGCAGATAGCTATCTCTTCTATTCCCACTCACTCCTCACTTTCTCAATTGAGGCAGCATTGATTATCTGTGTGCTTTTTCGCATGTGGCTACCATTTATGATTGTGATTCTTTGCCATTTCGAGTTCTTTTTTTTTCTAACAGTTTTATTTTACTGCATTTACATTCAATTATTTCAGCAATTCATGATTCAATGTATCAACTACAGGAATTCATATTACAGTCGAAAACACTACTGGTATGACTTCAAAGGAATCAGGTTCGACTTTCTCTGCAGAAGAGATACAGGCCTCAATTTGCAGGGAGCTAGATTCATATGTTTGGCTAGCAATTTCTTCTTCTTTTCAACTTGACAATGTTTTTGATGAAGAATACAACGAAGGAGAAGACAATTTGGACTCTCTTTTTTCCGCACCTTCTTATTTTGGTCTGTCACACTCTACATCTGTTCATGAGTTTCCCCCCTTCCACATTTTTTTACAACTTGTCAATCAGGTCATCAGTCAACACATTTTGGTTTGCTGTATATTCGAAATGTGGCTGAGTTCGTTAGTTTTCTCTTTCCTACTCCAGTTGCCGTGCCACCTCGTTCACTGTGGTGGAGGTTTTTTTCTTCATATTGCTTCCACTTCTCCTAATGGGCCTATGGTAAGAATTTCAACTTGTACTTTCACATCTGGTGAATATACCCATGGTAAGTGTGGCTCAGCTGTCCTTTGTGTGGCTTTGTCCTTCTTTACACATGGGAGAATTAAGTGTTTCCAGTCATCAGTTCTTGGACTTTGGTAAGTTAGCTATTTATGTGTTGTTTGTCATCTAAGTTAATTTAGGTGACTTGTAAGTTAGATATTGATTATTATATTATTTTTCTAGATTATTTTAGTCGTTTTTCCACATTTGTTAATATTATGTACAATAGAACCTCAATTAATGGGCACCTTGAAACAACAGGCACTGCACCATTAAGGGCAGACCTTTTCATTCTCTTTCTTTCTTCTGCTATTTGTAACCAAAATAAATCTGGCAATAATGGGCACCTTGATATTCTGGATTAAGGGCTGTGTCTTTAGTCTCGTTTTTTTATATGGGCACTCTAAAAGTGGGCAGTTAACCCTTTTTGCTGTGGACAGGTTAAAGTGTACATGTCATGACCTTTTAGAGAGTTATCTTAAAAATTTTATTAAATAAGGGTTAGGAGCAACGAATTGCAGAAAAGCCTTCTCAAAGTGAGAACACAATTTTGGATGATGAAGAGCCAACCTCTTTGCCTGAGCCAGAACCACCATCTGCCAACATCAAGTCATTCATGCAAGCACAACAATAGGCTTTTGACCTAAAACATTTTGCACTTGAGCAAGGTTTGTCAGACATTTTAGATACTGTCATGACTCTCGAGGGTCAATTGCAACACCACCAGTGTAAATTTGACAAACAATTATCTATTAAAGACTTTTATAGAAAGTAAACACATAACCAATAATGTAAAGAATTTGAGTATAAATTTGCTATACACGTATTTGTGCTAATGACCTAATGTGTGGGATGTACAAATGCATGGTAATCTTTTAAATGTAGTATACATGTATTTTCATACCCGTGGAATAGAAATACATTTAAAAAACACATATTTCTTTGTTTCATTTATGTATGCACAAAAAACTGTTTACATACATGTAACAAATATGGCTTTAAATGCATATACCAAACAAAATGGGAGATTAAAATTCAGAAATTTAGTATGGTCACCCTTATTCAGACTGTTCTTTCAGAAATCTCCACAATCCATCTCCATGCATGGCTTTTGTCAGGTACATTGCCTCAGCCCAGAGACTGACTCCACATGTTGCATCTTTTCTTTCCCAGACTTTCATCCATGTTCATTTACCAAAGGCAATGGTCTACCTTCCTCCTTTGGTCTCTTTGACATTGTTTCTGTCCTTCTTACCCTTCCATTCCTAATCTTTCCCAATTCTTCATCTGGTTGTTTAGCAAAAGCTTGTCCACTTTGACCATGTCGAACTATTGGACAGCCTTGTTGAACACCTTACGTTTATCCAAGTTTTGTAAAGTTTTGTCTTCCCCTGTCATTTCCTTCCTTTTCCACTCATTTTCAGTTGTGCATCCTCCACGTTCCTTTGATTTCCCTGATTGCGATCTCATTAGGATCCTTTATGCCTTTTCCCATCCTCCCTTTGAAAATTTGTCTATGTGTTCCATGTATTACCTCTCCCTCAATACCTCTTTCATTCTCCTCTTTGCTTGCAGACATTATCAAACAGATATGCCATTCATTTTCCCTGCATCCTCTACCAGTTTGGATTTTACACCCATTTCTTTGTCTTCCATCTCCAACCTGTGCTTCTATTCTGATCTTGATTGGCCTTTTTGTCCGGTTCACTCCTTACGATGGTATGTGGCACATAGTGCCTCCTTTTGGAGTTCATGTTCTCAACTTTTATTCCCTGGAACCATTTCATTTCTCATGATCTATCCTCTGTCGTGCTAAATGGTTGAGTTTGTCAACTTGTTAGGCTGGCGTATTCAGACTTATCCATGGAAGGTTGCTGTCTTCATGGCATTTCTTCGTATCAAATTCATCATATCACCATGTCTTTGGCTGCTCACCTTCACCGTCTGTTGGAGTGCAAACTACTCCCAATACCTTTGTCACTCATTATCTGCACAATTTGTACCTTCCTCAGGTGGATATCGTCTCCCACCCATGGCAATTCTGGAAACATCTGTTCGCCTTTGACTAGGTAGGTCTTATCACTTCCTTTCATTTATGTTTTTATTTTCATCAACCTTCATTTTACCCCCTTATAATTGGATCCCATTCTGTGGCAGGTGTTGCCTGGTCAGGTATTCTTTGCCTCAAACTTGCACTATTTATTGATTACACTAAAACAGCTCACTATAGTGATGGGCTGTTCCACAAGACCACTGTTGACATACCCAGTTGACACACACATGTATATATATATATATATATGTGTGTGTGTGTGTGTGTGTGTGTCTAAATATCAGTAAGTTTTACTCAATGGTGGTCCATCACTCATGGACTTCATGAGTAAAGCACAAAGGGATTTCTGCCCATCCCTGCCAACCCTTTGATTGAATAAATTGGGGTTGGTCTGCTTTTCAAAATAGAAAATTGTGGACACCCATTGTGCTTTCTCTGGTGCGATGTTCCTCCAGACTCCCCACAACATTTACTTCCACCCTTTTTTCTTCCAGTGGAGCACAGGAGTCTTTACCAGTTCCCAGTCATTGGGATGGTGGACCATTGAGGTTTCCTCCTGACTGAGTTTAAAGATTTAATTTACCATAAATACTCATGATTATACACTCAGTGAGAAGAGGGCAAAGCTGGTTTCCCTCCTTCCATTTTCCCCTGGATGTTATTGTTATTTCCCAGGTGGACAACTGTTGGTTGGAGCAGGACCAACCTACATGGGATCGTCTTCGTAATACTGGGTTGGGGATGATAGCACCTTATTCCTATAGTTGTTTGCAGTAGTGGCCCCTCTTCTTATTGTTCCAGCTCCAGGATATTCTTTGCCTGCTCATATTGAGTTTGGGGACTTCTTCTGTCTTGTAATTCTCGAAAATGAGGATTGAATGGAAACAACAGAGGGATCTAGCTACGCCAATATAGGTGGCACAATACTATTGGTGGAGAGTAGCCATGTGTTATTTACAGGTTCAAAAATGGCACAAAATTGATAGGGTATATAGATTGGTGTGCTGAGTGCAGAATTTTTTTTGCAGGGCTTACAGGGCAGAAAGAAGATTGAGATAGCTTTGTGTAAGAGGATGTAATTACCTATCACAAATACGTTTTCAGTGTAAGAAAAATGTCACCTTTCAGTTATGATTGTACATGAAGCATACAGAGAAAATGGCAACCAAAGGTAATAAAATCAATTTGAAAACATGAAGACAATGGTAAATCAGATATTATTATTATTATATAAAACTATAAAAGAAGGAGGGAGAACATATGTGACAATCCTAATGATTCTGTTGAGGATCTTGTAGAAAGTGAAGAAAAAAATTAAAATGCACCTTTTGAAAATAATAGTGTTGTGTAGTTTCTTCTTTTATATAGTTTTGATAAACTTTGCTAATAAAATGCAAATAGTCATACCATTAAAGAGTAAATGTTTTCTTACCAATTACCTGTTATAATATAGCATTTTAAGCATCCATGTAATTCACACATGCAAATTCATTCGTGCCTGTCAATCACAGAACGTTTGATTTTCTCATGAAAATATCTGCTGTATCATTATAAGTGTTTGTTTTCCATACTGGCTCAGACTGTTACAAAAATCTAATTGTATAATTTAAAGGTAATTTAGTTTCCTGAAACTACGTTACCCTTTATTTTTCATTTTATCTTTCAAACATTGTCATGCAGTATGTGTAAGTAAAAATTCTTTGCTCTGACCTTCTTTATTTCTATTTTCAACTAATCGCAAGGTTGAAAAAAAAGTATGCATAACTTTTATCAGCCTATAACACCAAATTTTTAAGAAATATTATTGAAAACCAAGGGAAAGTAAATAGTAATCGTTAAAAGAATTCTAATTCACTGTTGTATAAAGTACAGACCAACCTGATTTATGCATTAGCTACTTCAGCACGTTGCTCTGCTTCAGTAATTTATGTATTATTGTTTATGAAGGTTAAATTTCCTGAACTAATACATATTTGTTGATAAACCACAGAAAAGGTAAAATTGTACTTTAGTAAAATAATAGCCTACGGTCCCCCTCCCTCTACACTAAACGTGTGGAGTCCTTGTTGTGGTACCTATATTGTTGTGCAGACCAAGGTAGCATGAGGGCCCTGGATTTGATCCCTAGGTGGAGGCTTTAACCACTAGGCTATTGAGATTCCTTAATTTTTTTTTCCTTATAGTCTGTAGCACATTAACAAATTGGTGACCAATATTTACTTATTACTGTAATGTCTGAATTTTGTGCATATTTATTCTTAGTATGATAAATAAAGCTACCTAACTGATGATGTATGTTTCTGTGTATGACTTTGTACCAAGAGATGTATTGTAAGGCTTTTGTATGAATATTATAAAGTTTTAGTATGATATCTAAATGTATGTTTCTGTGTATGACTTTGTACCAAGAGATGTATTGTAAGGCTTTTGTACAAGTTCAAAATGTTTAAAGTTTAATTTTTGTTGTGGTTTTAAATCATCCTAGATACAAGATGTTTTATAGATATATAGACTTTAGAGAAACAGTTTCTGTTTTTTGTTCATGTAGGTGGTATCCACCAGGCCATGGTGACTTCTACGAGTCATTTCATAAATCTGGGCTCTTACAACAGTTTATTGATCAAGGAAAAGAAGTTTGTTTTGTTTCAAATATTGACAATCTTGGAGCCACTGTTGATGTTAGTATCCTTTGAAAAAATGTTTAAAAATGGCGACTAATAGAAATAATCCTCTGAGTTGTGAAGAGATAGTTGATTTATATTTTGAACCACAAATTGAAAAATGTATATACCGGTAGAAATCCTGAGTAGTCAGAAATATAGCCAGTTACAATAAAATAATTGACAAAATACAAATTAAAAAAAATTCTTAATTGATTTGTGATATGTGGTATATCATGGGTTTCCTACCTTCTATAATGATAAAACATTATTCCAAATTACTAATTATATAATATCTACACTGATGGCAATAACCGATGGTCCAGAATTGATACCATTATCTTGTTCTAGCTGCTCTGCCCTTTGTATCTAGTACGTGATGTCTCCTCTGCCTGCAGGGATATTTCCATATCATATTTAGAGTTAAGGTTGAAGAAATTAGCTCTGAAATATCCTTTGTTGGCAGATTGTGACGTTGACTGAAGCTGATAATTGAGCAGTGTTGTCAGGGAACAGCTAGAAGTTATGAAGTGACACCATCCATTGAACAAAAAAAAGAACAAGTTAATATTCAGGATTCAGGCACTCTTTCCTTGTTCAGTTCGACATGCCTTTCATTATGATTATTTCAGCAGGGATTTATCTTCAGATATGTAAAGCTGGTGAGCTATTCACTGATCCAGTGTAGACAAGTATGCACACTTTTTTATGTTGTGTTTAAATGAAGATTGTTATTTACATGTGTCTTTATTTTTCCTGCAACATAAAATTCAGTCAAGTCATCCACTAAGAATGTCCCCCTTATTTCATTATCAAATCTGCTGTTATTTGCTGATTTGCCTGTCTGATATTTGTCAGGAAATTGGTTTCACCTGAAAACACCACAAGTTTGATAATTCCAACTTTAGAAGATTCTGCATAGTAGCTGTAAAAATCAGATGTTTTATTAATAATGATTGTTATTAATTTTCTTTTTATTTTGGTTTTACTTTTTTATCTCCAAAGTTACTAATTTATTATTCTTTATTCTCATCTACTTGTACTTTTGTAAGATTTAATTTTTATATGTAACAATTTTGGTAGAAAAACAACTTTAAACACAATGTTCTTGACTATCTTCAGACATCTTAAACACAATGCTGAACCACTCTTCTGATCCTCACCCTGAGTTTATTATGGAAGTTACAGACAAGACAATTGCTGATGTTAAGGTGAGGAACTGCTGTTTTTACAATTCTGGGTTTGAGAATTATAAATCTGTTCATAATTTTAATCCCTTTGCTTTGAGGCAGTATTGAAAATACAACAAAGCAAAATTCAGAAATGTCACATTTCTTGGCACAACTTTCAGATTTTAGAACACAAATAAAAGAATAAATAAATATGCATGCACTTAACCTCCAAACTTCGCTTACTGGTCAGAATATTCTCACCCTAAGCTTTATTAAAGTTATTGTATTCACAGAAATGTGAACAATGACATTTACAAAACAACATTTCTATAAAAAAGGGAAAATGGTAACAAAGTTAAGTCATGTGTATGCTCTTATAATTATTATTTAAAAAAAAAGAGAACATGACATTAAACGATAGTTATTAACAGATGTAGATTAGTCATGTGATCGTTAAAGGATGTTATTTAACCAAACAATTTCTATTAACAATTATATATATTTACCTATTAGAAATACTATTATTTACTTTTAACAAAACTTGTCAGGTTTATAAGTAGTCTTCAGAATATGTTTGAATCAATTAAATTGTTTGGAATGTTTGCTTAAGCATTTATTGTTTGTGGTGTATTTTGTTGTTTTTCAGAATTTGTTGTGCATACTGGAGAGATTTACACATTTTAACAATATAAGAATTTGTACTACTAGCCCTGATGAAGTTACAATGTGAAAAAGTTGGCTGAAATAAAAAGTTTTTTTATAATTATCTGGAGAGTAAAGGACATTTTTTTCTAACTTTATTGATTTTATTTTTTTGTAGCAGTGTGCTTGTACTTATAAAAAATTTATTTCATTCTCCTTAGGGTGGTACTTTGATTCAATATGAAGGAAAACTTCGTTTACTAGAAATAGCCCAGGTTCCCAAAGAACATGTAAGGATTGTAATTTTTCGGAAACTTTTAATTTCATTAATATAACACTGTTGTCTGGTTGTTATAAGGTCTAGACTTTGGTTGGGAATATCCAAAGCTCCAAAAGAACATGTCAAACTGTGTTTTCTACAGAAACTTTTAATTTAGTTAATAGAACAAGTAGCAATATTGTATAGTTACTATTTGGTCTAGGCTTTGTTTAGAAATAATCAAAGTTCCCAGAGAATATAAATATATAAATATTTTCTGTTGTATTAGTAAAACTATAGTTCCTACTAATATTTAAGTATAAATTCTTTATGGTCCTCATTGCATGTAGTGAGATATAGCCTCCAGAACAATGCAGTTTCATACATGTGTAAGCTAACTGTAATTAGTTGTATGAACTTGGCAAAAACAAAAAGAAAGAAATGCTTCATAGTTGTTGTGAGTGATATGCTTTTCATTATTTCAGGTTGATGAATTCAAAAGTGTAAAAACATTCAAGTAAGTTTTTTTTAAGTATATCACCTTTTTTCTTAAAATGCCAAAAGAAATGGTTTAGAAAATTTTTTTGATTAATCCTTGACTTGATATATATAATTAATTAAAATCTCTCTAATTTGTAATGGCTCCTCAGCATCAGCTCAACTCACAGTATTAAAATGCTCTTTTATACGAGTTAAGAGGAACATAGCGATAGATTCTACACATTCTTGTGTCAAACTAATGATGAGGAACCATTACAAATTTAGAAAGGTTTAATAATTGCAAATCTGAAGCTAAGAACTTATAATGCATGCCTATTTTTGTAAAACAGATAACTAATTTTTAATAAAATTACAATTTTTAAAAGTAACAATTATACAAGATAAATTTTAACCTACTTTTATTATGAACTTAGACAATGGCATTTATTTGAGTATTGAAAGTTATTCTAACTTAGTTAGCTGTTGTGCATCTGTGTTAAAATAAAAGCTATTTGTATGCAAACTCCTTAAAAGGTTAGAACAAATTCTTGTAAAATATATTGCAGCTAATTTGTGTATTTATTCAATAGAGCTGGATAGTTAACTGCAACAATCAATTACAGTGTCATGTAAAATAATCATTTAACCAAAAAATTACATTTAACTCGATTAATATCACAAAAATAATCAACTAATAAAATTAAATGTTTCTAAATAGTACTGTTTTTAGATTATATCAAGTTTTTAAAATATTGCCATTAAGATTTCTCAGTAATATGTTTGATTCATTCAAATTTGTTAAGCTTAATTAATTAGTGTAATGAAAATAACTATCGAATCAAAATTATGGTTTCCTATTATTACTATTTGTTTTCGATTATTCCAACAATTCATTATTCAAGTAATCAAAATATTGCCATTATGACTTTGATTTATTATCTTCAATTAAATCAAGTTTGTTCAGTTCAATTGATTAATGTCACAACGTATGAAAATAGTCAGTTAATCATAATTAGGGTTTTTCATTATTATTATTAATTATTCCAACTATCCAATTAAATGAAATATTGGCATTAGGATTTTTATTTATTAGTTGTTTATTAATTCAAATTTGTTCAGCTTCAGACTACCATGATCTGGTTATATGGGGGGATGTCTTCTTACTTAAGGGGCTTAGTTTTGATTCCCATTGCCACCAATCTTGCTTATCCTTAAAGCCACAGCAGCAGTATGTATGTTTCTCTGTTTATAAGTTATGGCAAAACTAATAAGGCTATCAGTCACATCCATAATTTTGATATGGTTACCACAGAGAAGGCAACTGGCCACCAACACTCAATGTCAACTCTTGGACTACTCTTTTACTAGTGATTAATGGAATTGACCATGACCTTATAATGTCCTTACAGTTGAAAAGGAGAGTGTTTGGTGGTACTGAATATCAAATCCACAATCCCCAATTCAAGAGGTAACCACCAGGTTAACTGAGGGTATTATGATATGTTTAAATCTATTAGTTGATCAAAAGAATAGCCCAAGATTTGGGAGTGCATGGGTTCTGCTTGTCAGTTACCTTCCCTCTGGTTGGCAATTCGAAATTATGGACAGCAGCAGATAGATTTGGTAGCTTTCCCATAACTCGAACAAATTTGTTCAGCTTAAGATACACACCAACTAAGGTCACAAATAATACAATAGCTAGTACTGCTTCCATTGGTGTAGCATAGTGGTCATTGGTTAAGTAATTAACCACAGTGGTGCCTGTTGTTTATATTTACCTTGTTTGAACTAAACAGTACTTCAGCTTTAACATATCATGTTGTGTACTTATTACATATTACAAACTGTTACATTACTTTGGACATGTTCAAAAAAAGGGTGGGGCTAGAGAGGCTCATGTTCTCATCTTAGCTATGCATAAATATTTAAGTAAAAATAGTGCCAAAAATACATGCTAGGAAAAGTCGTATTTAGACACCCACCTGAATACTTATGTTTTAAACCAATGAAAAACAGTTTTTTTATTTGATCGGTAACCATTATTATATTCGTTGATATACACACAACTTTATTTCAAGTTTTCAATTGTGAATACTCTTTGTTTTTGGCACATAAGTCCAACCTACATGAGTAAATAGTAATATTGATGTAAGTAATGACTTCTTGTTTTACATGTTGTTATAGCTACAATGTAGAGTTCAATTAATATTAATTTATTTTTAGTACATAATTTTTGTATTTTCCTAATAATGTTTAAAAGAAGGAACATCATGTTGTTTTTTTGTTAAAACTACAGAGGCTTTCTGAGAGGAATTAATATAAACATATTTTATGTTGTTAAGATTGATTTAATTAAACACAAATCTTATTTGAGAACTAATATATGTTATTATATTTAACATTTTCCGTGTGATATGTTTCTGATACAACTATACAATATTTTTTACACAAAATTTAAATGTGTAACTTTACATGGTCTTTATTATTTTCAAGTCCTAATCCAATCTTCAACAACACCCTAGAATTATGGCCCTTAAAGCCTTCAATTAGTAATCTGTTTCTTATCAGTTTTAGAATGATGGCTTGGATGGTTTTGGTGAAGTAATGTTTTAAACAGTACAGTAACTTAGCTTTTATAAGTTAAATTTCTTACCTTTTTGTTATAGTAAAGTATATTTTCAGCAGCTGATAAATTAGAAAGTGAACAGATTGTCTAGCACAATTACAACATTATCACACCAGCCTCACTTGTTTTTTTCCATACATGATCTTTACAAACATCAGCCATTGCAACATCTTTGCATCATAAATTAACATAAACAATCAAGAAACAGTCTTTCTAAAATAATATTTGTTTTCATTATGTGAGGAAAGCATTTAAAATAATAGTATTACAGTTATACATGTCTTCTATTACAAAATTCTATGTATTTAAAAAATCTATTTTTAAAAACTGCTTTATTAAGCAGCATTAGTTGGATTCATTTCACTGGTTGCATGACTTGTTACGAATTAAACATCTGACTGTTATGCCTCATGACAACAATTATGTAACAGGAAGCTATGAAAACACGTTTTGTTTTTTATGCTTTCATTTTTTAATAAAAGTACTTAAGTTTTGTTTTTGTTTTTTGCATGACAGTGGTTTCAATACCCTTGGTGGGCAGAGCACAGATGGCCCATTGTGTAGCTTTGCTTAATTACAAACAAACAAAAAAATCACTGATCTCTGTGTAATTAGTTTAACATACTCTGGTTGAACATTGAGGAAAATTTGTAATTGTTCTGCACTTGGCTCCAGTTTGAATGCTAAATGATTTAAAACATACTTTATACACATGTATCCAGCAGCAGGGTTGTAAATTACACTTGACAGCTTATATTAATGGCCTTATGTAGTTTTGTGCCAAGTTAATATGATTTGACACTGGGATTACTTAATTGCTGTAAAACATAAAAGTAACTGTAACAGATGACTTGCATTGACAGTAAATAGGTATTAAAAACAGACTTTGTTAAAAATTACATTTGTCTGCATTCCATTAGTAATATGGGAAATCCAAAATTCATCTTAATTTCAAAACTGCAAGTAACTGGAACGTAATATTTTACATCAATGGTTCTAAAACTTTCAAAATGCTTGAACCCTTTATCAAGGCTATAACGAGGATTGACATCCATTAAAATTGGCACCGTTCATTTTAGTGGAAATCGAAATGCTAATTGTAATGCCTTAGTAATATTGAGAAATCCTATATAAACAGTATCTACTAGTGCTGATTTTGTTCCTTAGAAACCCTTAGCAGAACTGTGTGGTTTCATCGAACACAGTTTCAGAGCACTGTTTAATATATATGTTATAACATAAATTGATTACTAAAACTTTGAACTAACTATATAATGCCATTTTGCATTTTTTTTTAAATTGCTTGTGAAAAATAAAATTGCAACTGTGCACCAGTCATGGTATTATGCACCAAACAAATGTTTTCATGAAATGCAGTTGAGAACAATTGCAAAATTCCTGGAGAACTGTACTTACTGCAAGCTAGAAATATAACCAGTGTTACATGGGTACCAAATTAATATTCATTATTCTTTATCTACTCAGAGAAATGTTGATTACTGAATCACTTGCTTATTTAACCATGTTTATCATAAATTTCTAGAATAACAATAATTTAAATTAACACTGTTAATTAGTTAACTTATTTATATGCCAGGAATCCTGTTTAATTGAGACTAGCTGTAGCTAGTGTGATAAATATATTATACATTCTTCTTTACTTTCAGTTGTACATTCTTAAAAAGGAAAACAGAATTCTGACTGTCATTACATGCCACTTAAATACTTTTGTTATTGTTTGTTTTTTAAAATTATAATAAATAATTAAAACTAAAC